ATTTTTTAAAAAACTTATTATATTAATTATTCTCAGTTATCTAAGATAATAACATACTAATCTAATTTTATTTTTTAAATTTCGTTTTTAATTATCAAATTAGTTATATATAAAAGTTTCATTAAGGGTATAATCGATATTAACCACTCCTAACATATATAAGAATTATTTTATTTTTGATTTTTTAAAAAACTTATTATATTAATTATTCTCATTTATCTAAGATAATAACATACTAATCTAATTTTATTTTCTAAATTTCGTTTTTAATTATCAAATTAATTATATATAAAGTTTCATTAAGGGTATAATCAATATTAACCACTCCTAACATATATAAGAATTATCTTATTTTTGATTTTTTAAAAAACTTATTATATTAATTATTCTCAGTTATCTAAGATAATAACATACTAATCTAATTTTATTTTTTAAATTTCGTTTTTAATTATCAAATTAGTTATATATAAAAGTTTCATTAAGGGTATAATTGATATTAACCACTCTAACTTTTAACGTGAGAGCTCCGTTGCGAAAAATCACTTCGCAAATAATAGTATAGATAGATTATCAAATTAGTTATATATAAAAGTTTCATTAAGGGTATAATCGATATTAACCACTCCTAACATATATAAGAATTATTTTATTTTTGATTTTTTAAAAAACTTATTATATTAATTATTCTCAGTTATCTAAGATAATAACATACTAATCTAATTTTATTTTCTAAATTTCGTTTTTAATTATCAAATTAATTATATATAAAGTTTCATTAAGGGTATAGTCGATATTAACCACTCTTAACATATATAAGAATTATCTTATTTTTGATTTTTTTAAAAACTTATTATATTAATTATTCTCAGTTATCTAAGATAATAACATACTAATCTAATTTTATTTTTTAAATTTCGTTTTTAATTACCAAATTAGTTATATATAAAAGTTTCATTAAGGGTATAATCGATATTAACCACTCTAACTTTTGACGTGAGAGCTCCGTTGCGAAAAATCACTTCGCAAATAATAGTATAGACATAATTTATAATTTGATAAAACGTAATTTAAAAAAAAAAAATTGAATAGTTTATGAATTTTTAATGTAACTTGTATTCTAAATAAATATATAATGATGTTCGATAAAACATAAAAATAACATGTTAAAATTTTGCTTAGGGCATCCAAAAATATTGGACCGGCACTGCGAGTAAGGCTGAGCATAGTTTGATAGTTTGCTTGGAGACCTTACAATCTCCATAGAAGTTTGCGTTTCTGTATCCCAATCGTCTGATCTGAACTACAGCTTCGCTCAGCACAATAGCCTCAGGCTTCAAGTGATGTAGATGCTGGGTCCGTTGCAATGGAACCTTTCATGATGATAGAAGAAGCATCTATAAAACAAGAATAATCAGTTTGTAGTAGATGTCTTAATGGTTTCTGTCCTGATGGGAAGGAATTAAGAGCTTGGTTTGGGAGTATATGGTTGCTCATTGCTCAAGAGTTTTAGCTTGCTCCCAGAGAATATTATATGCAGTGGTTAGGACTAGGACCGCCCTGGTATTATGGTTGAGAACACATGCCTTTGAAAAGTGAACCAAATTTAGAGGGAGTAGATAGCTAAAGTCCGCACACAACTAGTGAACATTTTCTAGTGGGTAAATACAAAGTCAATCACAACTAGATAACATTACTCGAGTCTTAAAACTATAGAGAAATAGAGCACTTGTATTGTAATCAAATCTCAAAGGAAAACAATGATGTGAAATAATCACATTCTCAAGAAAGAAAAGAAAATAAAAAAAACGTGGAATCAAAAACCGATGGAAAAAAAAGTGAGAGCAAATAAACCTAGCAAATCATCATCGGTCTCTACTCGTGATGCATCATTCTCAAGGCTCCCATGCAAATCCTCAATGCTCTGTACTCGTGATTCATCCAACTCAAAGCTCACATTAGAAAGACTTTCCTCGTGAACTTCTAACAATTCTTTCATACTCAAGAAGGATCCTACCAATATTCGTCTGTAACATTGAGTCGATAGTGTCCAACAAAACCAGGACACCACATTCAATAATTTCGAAATCTTGGGATGAGCTGCTGAATTCGAACAATATCTCGCTGTACTGTTCGTCTAGCCAAACACCAAAGGAGAGAAATATAGCCAGATGTTCTGATTGGACTCCAAAGAGAAGAGGGAATATGAGAGTATCCGTGGGGCAACCATTTTTGCTTACGCAACACATTAAGTCTATAGAGTTATACTTTTCCATCTTTGATTCAGGGGAAACCTTGACACATATTTTAAACATGCCGGTCTTTGAACTGATGGTCAAGGAGTTTCCTATAGTCCTGTGATTGAACTCTGCAGGTATATCTCTTCCAGGTATGCATGCAAAACAAGATGGCTGCTGGATAATTGTTCTCCTTGCTTCTGGACCCAATTTGAAGCAGTTGCCGAAATAGAAAAATCTAATCTGAGAGTCGTAAGGGAAAGGTGCTAGTGTCTCCAGTGATTCACAATTCCATACGCATAGATATTTGAGAGACCCAGGAAGCTCTGGCAGTGATGCAAGTTTTGGACATCCAATTATACAAAGACTTTTCAACCCATGAAGATTTTTCAACCAATTATCTAGAATTCTCTCAGTATCTGCGCCACTTCTCTTCTGTGTCAATCTTGCCAGATATGGCTGTGTCCAAAAAAAATTATGTCGAAGGACACTTCCAAATACACTTCCATATATATCGAGAGCCTCAAGACGAGACCAGAGACTAACTGATGCAGTAAATTCTTCTAACATCGTGTCTGTGATTGAGAGGCTTGTGATGGTTGTGGAAATATCCGGCAGTTTCCTCAATCGGTCGCATCCCACTATCGAGAATGTTTGAAGAGATGCCAAGTTGAAGAGACTCGGAACAACTTGTAGATTTCTACAAAAGAGCATCTCCAAGGTCTCCAGTTTATGAAGAGTTCCAACAGAGGAATGAATCTCTACCAAACTCCGACATGCTCCCACATCCAAAATCTCGAGATTTGTAGCATTTGCAAGATCCGGGAGTTTCTCCAAATTATACGACGCTGTCAAAATCAGCTTCTTGAGATTTTCAAGTGGCTGAATATGAAACAACACAGCAAAACAAAAAAATCAACACATGATGAGTAAGTACGAAAAATAGTCATTATTGGTTGAATGTAAAACAGCACAATAACATAAGAATGTTCACGGAAATGATGATTGAATTACATACTTTTATAGTTTCTTGGTTCATGCATATAAAATTACTTACAAATCTAAACAAAATAATATGTTAATGCATATAAATACATTCCTTTAGTTTATTGGTTTGTGCATAAAAATTTACTTACAAAATTACTTAATGGATAACTGATTTTTGTTTGAATTTTTTAAATAAAAATACATGTTTTTTTTTATTTAAAAAAAAAAATTGGAGCAAAAAGTAAATCAAATTGCGGTTATTATTTTCTTGATTTTTCATAAACAAATATAAAGGGTGCAAGAAAGTCAGGTCCGTAAAGAATACTAAAAACAAACCTGGGTTCCTTTCCACAAATGTTTGAGCTTGCTATTTTTTAAATTGAGTTCCACAAGATTTTCCGGCCTAAATGTCTGAGGAAGACACGTTCGTGGATATTCCTCCCAATGTAATAACTTCAGGCGAGGTGGAAAATCCATGTCCTTGAGTAGATGCATTCTAACATTTTTATCCAGTCTTGAGTTGTAGATCTTGAGAAATTGAAGATTGCACATTCTTTTCGAAGCTTTTAGGCCTATTGCTATACTGTCTTTGATAGTAGATATATCAAAACATATCCCCATCAAACTTCTAATACCCTAAATAAAATTCAAAATAGAAGAAATTATGTTAGAACAATAGGTAAGATCTGCGGAGCTTTGCCTAAAGATCCGGTTTAACGCACTCATCCCAAATATGAAGAAAAACAAACTTACAAAATCATTCTCAAGGACCTCGGGAATATCATTAATATCAATTAGGATTTGGCGTTTCCAAGGCTCTTGTCTTTGAATTGCTTGTATACCCACTTGTCGTAGTAACTTGTGCATCACTATTTCTCCTTTGGTCGATAACTGTATGAGAGATTTATAGGCGAGGGTTTTCAACCCAAGTCTTACATCCAAGTTACTGTCAGCAAGCATTGCTTTCACATGACCATGGTCCTTGTAGTTAAAGAAGACTGCAATGAGGAGAAATAGAGATTGATCGTTCTCATGCAAACTGTCGAATCCAACTCTTAGTATTGCATCGATCTTTGTTATACTGCTGTTTTGTAGCCGATGCAACATACTCTCCCAATCATCTTCGTTCTTTCCACGTAAATTTGAACCTATGACACGGAGACCCAATGGAAGGTTACTACAAAGCTCTGTTGCTCTTTTGACAAGCTTTTGAAAACCATATGGTGCCAAGTTCCCTTTAAAGGCATATCTACGGAGGATTGTACTAGCCTCTTCTATAGTTGGAAAGTCCACATGGTATGTATTGTAGATACCATGTTGCTCCAGAAGCTCTTGATCTTCTGTGGTTACGATAATCCTGCTTCCATGACCAAACCAGTTAGTGTCATTAGCCAAAGCCTCAAGCTGCTGCAGATCGTCCACATCATCAAGAATGATAAGAACTTTTTGGTAAGATAGCCTTTCCGGTATCGCACCTAAATGCTTTATCTTTATATCATTTTCGTTTAGAGTCTTTGAAAGAAGTAGCTCTTGTAAACGCAGCTTCAATTCATACTCGTCAAGACCACTGTTACAGCTTCCTCTAAGATTCTCCACAAAACAAGAAAGCTGGAAAGTGCTAGAGAGTCGATAATGTAAAGCTCTGGCAATGGTAGTCTTACCAATGCCAGCAGGGCCACAGATTCCAACTATCATCATTCCATCCTCATCATCTAAATGTAACAAAGACTGCATCTTCTTCAAGTGTGCTTCAATACCCACCATGTCTTCAAAATCGTTAGAGATAGTTGAAGCATTTAGTTTGTTTGAAACATCTCTAGCAATCTTTTCAATCATCTCGGATTCGTTGCCCCTAAAAGGAGAGAAAAAATCACTGTGCTTATAAGAAGTCAGATGCGAAAGTGATTTGCATATTCTATTGGCCAAGGAAAAACCACATTAGTGTAACTAACAAGGAACAGGAAAGGAAAAATCATAGGATTAACAACATCTCTCTCGGTTGAACAGTAGACCCACACGAATGTTTATTTTAATAGTATAAATATTTGAAATAACACAAAATGTAATAGTAACACAGATATGCATCTATATGGATGTTTATTTTTTTTTTTTTTAGTGTATAACATTTATAATAGATCAACCGTTTTTAATTATCTGTAATTTGATGGTTACACATATTTTGGTTGGATACTAAACCAATCAAAATGATATAACATATTCCTTAGTTAGTAATTTTTAGTTAGACTAACCATTTTTGATGTATTTATTTATAAATTAACATATCAATTATTATGTTTATGTACATTAATAAACCAATCGTTCCAAGATAAAATAGTTTATGTCAAATAAAATTCACTTGTTTGAATAGAATAAATAGATATGTCTTTACGTTTTTATAAGCCAAATAAATTGTCTACTATGTTTTAATTTTTTAGGAAATATTAAATTAAAATAAATTTTTATATTTTTATAATTTAATATATGTGTCAATAATAATAAAAAAATTGTATAACATATATTTGAAAAATAGTTTTATATGTTTGAATAAAATATTTATAGTTTATACTTTATATATGAAATGAAATAAAAATATACATGAATATAAATATTGAGTATGTATGTTACATTTTAAATAAATCTGTTTAATTTTATTGTAAAAATGATTAGAGAATATTCTGGCTAGAGAATAATATAACAAAACAAATTTGTTTGGCTACGTAATTTTTTATGGATTAAAATTAAGAAAAAAAAAGTTTTAGTAAAACAGATTACACAAGCTTTTAACCATATGGAAAACCCGATTATTTTATATGTTTCAATTTTTATAATTGGCATGAAGTTAATTCGACTAATAAATAAAAATATGCATTATTATTATAGTAATATAATTAATGATGTGACGAAATGTTATGGTAATATAATGGGTGGAAGTTGTTAACTGAGTTGAAAATGGAAAGAAAATTAATGTAATAACTTGATTAAAGAATGCTAAATTCTATTAGTACTTCACTTTTAGTAATATAGATAGATGGATGGAAAACC